CCTTGATATTGACCACGATATCAAAAGCTATTTTTTTTCGTGCGCCTATATATAAATCCGAATGTAGAATATACTTTAATTTAAAATGTAATGTGATATTTTACTGAAACGCTTATCTGTATGGTTACAATATTTCGCCAGATTAACCTGGCACCATCCGGTACATCAAGTACAATGAGTGAACTCGTAGTTTATTAATTTACATTCGGAGGATCTAGGAAGTGTTTATTAACTGCTAAAGTGTTTTTTAGGTTATATTTTCACATTATGTAAACACCTCTGTCGAACATATGGCTTTAATTGCAAACTTTCTGTTGAGCAGTTTAAAAAAACTTAGTTCTACATAGGAAATACAAAATCAAATTTCTCAAGACATGTCGTAATCCTGATTTAACCCCCACGGTTTCTAAATTACAAATTAATTCTTCTAAACGACCATTCTCTGAAGATTATCAATGTCATGCAATTAAAATTATTATGTGAAGATATCCGTGTCAGGAACAGTTTCCTCTCAAAAATATCGCCAGTTTCATCACACCTGAATTCCATCCTGAAGTCAACGTCGTTTTCCATAGACTTCATTAGTTTTATCTGGTAAAAAATAAACTGTTTTTTAACGTTTCGGAATGTCAACTTTCCGGTGATTAATCTGAATTGCTAGAAAAAGGCTTTAAGTTTGAAGTTGCTCCAAAACAGTTTCCTCTTTTAGAACTCCAAACTGGTTTGGAATATTTTGCTAGAATTCTTGTAGTCAAATATAAATTTAAAAGCAAGATTTATTCAAAGACTCTTATGAGTCAAACCACACTGCTACTCAACAGGCCCTCTATCTAATTATAGTATTTTGGCACTTGTGTATAAAGTTAAAATCATAAATAATATTCAACGTTAAACTGATACACAATTCTAAACATTTTATTTAGGCCTATCTATGGCCTTCAAAAAGTTGACGACTCTACATGTTTCGACGTTTTAAAGTCATCCTTCCGGGGCCTTGGTGGTAACTCCAAAAAAGTAAAAGAG